AAACAAGTAAACGGTCCATTTGATGATAAGTGTCTATCGTCGCTCATGGACATCTGCAACATAACGAAGAAAATTTGAACAAACGAACGAAATTTTGAAGCGCTTAAGAAAAATCTAAGGAGAAAGACTGTTCCACAATTGCACGTGCGAGGTAGAAGTAAACGTGATGCACGTACATTTGAAAGATGCATCTTAGATAATTTCTAATGATATGACCTAGAAAAGATAAGTATTAAACAGTTTTAATAATAGTCTCTATATAGGTATATTACAAAAGTTACGTTTTATATTGCGTCAAATCAGACGCCAGCCGTAAGTTACGTTGCTGGTGGACGATATTTTCCACATGGCGTTGACGGGTCACGCAGTCGTTTCAAACATCGCCTGACGCCAAAGGAATTTTTACTACTTATAATATACTTAAGAATATAGTACTTTTCCTTACTTAGTATAATAAATCACAATTTCGACTACAGCATAGAATAGTTTGCCTATGAAATTCAATTATAATTTTATAGAAAATGAGTTGTATCCAGAAATTTTTTATTGCAGCTTTGATTAATAAATATTAAAAGTTTATTTAGCAAAAATCATAAAATAAGCTTTATTTAAAAAAAGTGTATGATATCCATTATGTTATTTACGTTATGCAAGCATCAACATACGTTTTTTAAATTGTTTGCACGTGATATTTACTTCCGTTTCATTTTAAATATCCCTTCATTAAATGAAAAACATCAATTTACTGATTCGACCTCGGTACAATTTATTTAAAATTCATGTATTTAACACACTCAAAATTTACCTTGGGCTCGTCAACATCTATGCTTAGCACATTTATTAATTTACCTAGATTCTACCAGAAATACCTATTTACAACTCATCATACATAGGTTGGGTCAATTCATATAGGGATTCATTGACAGTATTGCTTATCACGACCCACGCTCACGCTCAGAATTTGCAAGCTCAATACAGATAATTCATATTGCTTGGCGTTCAACCTCCAGTTTCCATTAATAGTCGCTATTATACTCTAATTTCAATGTTTTGGGGCTATCTTAGGTACGTCTCTTTGTTAAGTAAGCTTGCGTTCGAAATATACCTAAAGCAACGTATGAAGTTACTAAAATATACCTTGAAATATCAGATTAATTGATATATCAGAGGCGGTAGTAACGCGTTTGCTTGAGAAACGGATTCAAATCCCGGGTCTCGCACTTCTAATATTTTTATGCATCAATTTTCAACATAATTGTCATTTATCTTACAGTGAAGGAAAACATCGGGAGAAACCTGCATATCTGAGAGAACCTAGCCAGTTTTCGAAAGACATGTGAAATGCGCACTTGGCCAGCGAGGCTTACTAAGATCCCCCTCATTTTATAGGGACAGTCATTTTATAGGACGTTAAAAAGGCTGAATACAATACATACTCATCTTGATATGGGAGACTGTTATGTAACTTGTATATCCGTAAATTAAAAGTTTGAGAAACTCAACGTCGAAATATCATCTGAAAACCTTTCAAACAGAAATAGCTGTAACAGTTTAAGGCTAGTCTTTAAATCAAAGAGATATACTTGTATATAAAAAGGGTGTGAAAATACCGACAAGTTTTATGTCTTTGACAGATTTGATTCGCTTAGATTAGATCATATTCTACAATCGACATCGCTAATAGTGAAATATATGCAATGTATAGAAATAACTTATTATCTGAGTATGTCACGTGGCCATTTATCATTCCTACATATTCTTTAGTTTTCTATTAGGCATATCGATTTTAGATACTTCGGGTAATTCGGCTACGAAATCGGAAACTTAAAACGATGTTATGAAAATTAACGGTTTTTACAATTATGTTTTTGTAGACAGGTATTTTTGTATAATAACTAGTATTATTATAAAGACTCTTTACTGATATAGAAAAACATACTGTTGTATAATATAATTAACTGAAGAGGACATAAATATTGAATTCAAGTAAATAAGTAATCAATGATAATGATTTTTCGTCTCTTCATGAGGAAAAGCGAACTCCGTTTGCGACATTAATTATATAGGCGTTTTAAAACTATTTATTCTTATGAAAAATATCTTAGTATATCAATTACAATCATGTATAAATAGTGCACAGAAATAGATTATAGTCTGGAATAGCACATAGTTTATTTTTATGTCAGAAAAATAAATCGTTCTCGTGGGACAGATATGTTTTAGTCTAGGGACGAACCGGAAGCGAAGCGAGGGTGAGTCGCTAGTCACGTTTAAATAACATTTTCAAAACTTACAATTTATCCTTTATTATTAAATTCTTTTTTCAGGTATAACCTACGAACATTTTATGGTGACTTTTGTATCATTTACTTCGACGTTTTCCTGTATGAAACGCTAAAATTGACATTTGATAGACGTATCTTGACATCGTTATATTATACAGACTTTTCATTGAGAAAATATTTCATCCTAAAGGCGATTGCGTGGAAAAACCGTAATATTATGAAAGATATTGTCTGTCATTTTTGATTATATATTTAAATACGTACACGTATAAAAATATGCTAGTATAAATAAAATAAACTAGTTAAAAAAAACTATGTATGAAAGATTCACGACTAGATAAGCATGAAATAGCAAACAAGATGGAATAATATCATACTTTATAATGGTACATTTTATTGCTAAAAATTTCGCTAAGTCTTTATAACTGGATAATTTTAATTTTTTTGAGCGGAACCCTAATTCTTTTTCTAAAATAAAAGTAGCATATGTTACTCCTTATAATATCAGCTATCTTTCAGTAAAAGTCCCGTCAGAATCAGTCCTGCTGTTTCAAAAATTATCCGGAGCAAACAGACAGACAGGCAAAATTTAAAAAAAAATGTGTTTTTCTTATAAGTTCCGTATATAATTTCATATGCATTTAGTAAAACGCTGTTATTTTGAAATTACAAACAGACACTTCAATTTTATTTATCAGTGTAGACGTTTAGATACAAAAAAATCTTAATTCCAAAATTACATTTTTTTCAAACTCTACTAATTACGTGAAGAAAGCTCTGAGAGATGTAAAAATTAAGCATAAGTGTAAAACGATTAACTCATTTAAGGGAAGATAAATTATGTAATACTAAGCCCACATTTCACGAGTGAAATGTGAGACATTTTTCTTTGCTTAGTTATAATTACTACCATAATTATTAACTGTTAAATATTGTTTCATTCCATCCTGAATTAATTACTGTCTTTTTTTACAAAATCAATATAGCTTCTGCCATTATACTCTTACTACGTATACTAGGTACATACTGTAACATACTGTAATTTACCTATACTTTTTTTATATTTTTAGTAGGTATATCCACTGACAGTAAATTGTTTTTTTTATAAGACCTATAACTGACATTACCGTCACTTTTTTCTGTTTGAGCAAATATGTGAAATATATGTAAAAAAACATACTTTCATCACGCAATCAAGAATATAAAATAAGAAAACTAACTTATGTTTGTTGATTTTATCCTTAACAATATTTAAACTTAATTGTAAACGTTAATCTATATATTTTATTCGACACATGATGTATGACAGATGTGCTTCATATATATATATATATATATATATATAAGAAAATACAGAGAATTATGTACATATGTCACTATTATGTTTAATGACTTAAGTCGAAGTGTGGAGCACTTTGTCAAAATTAATTAAAAGTACATATAAATAACTAGTTACAACTATTACTACTAATAAATGTATTATTTGTTTTGTTATTATGTGTAAACGAAATATTTAATTTACTAACTTACGAATATAGGATAAATTCTAATTTTTTAGTGTTGAAACTTGAAATAATGATGTGAATTTTAATTATGCAAGTATTTTAAATTTTTATTTTATTGTAAAACGTATAGATTTGGAGTATCTAAGCTTATACTTAAGAGAAAATACATAAAACTTAATTGATTCTTATAGTTACGAAACCCGAGTTCAGGTGAATCCGATTCGCACTTTATTAATTTTAATAAAAAATAAGATATAAATATTGATTTTTTTTAGTTAAAATTAATTACGAAATTGTATTACCCATTAACTTTTTAATTAATTTCAACACAAAACGATAATATGATGGTAAAGAAAATATCTATAAATAATTCTTCTTTAAAGTAGTCAGAAAGACGCTGATACGATTTTCGTTACAGCGAACCTTTTTCCGCTTTGTTAAAAAGAAAATACAGAGAATTATGTAGATTGACGAGTAAAATAAGTACAATTCGTGAAAAATGTTCGCCGACTCCACCTAATACAAACGGAATATTTACTCTGTAATTTTCTTAAGTGTAGCTTTTTCTTTTGACACAAAGCGCTACCCATATAATTGCAATGGCGACGAGATCGTTATCGTTTACGTTTTTCCAGTCATATAACTAAATTACGTTTAATATCGGCCCACTTTCCTTATCACTAATGTCTTTTGTAATGGATATAGCGGTAGAATTAAATCCTTTCGCTGTGTTAAGCGGATTTATCGAAACAGAAGCACTGAATTAGTATTATATGTTTTACAATTGTAATACTTTAAACAATTCTTTATAATGACTGCACAGAAGCATAAATAATGTTGTACAAAGCTTTCGAAAGCATCTGCAGTTCGGTTACAGCTTTAGGCTGGAAATTACAACTGATATACTCCAACTGCGCCGACCATCGCTCCATAGTCCACACGCCAGTTCGTAGCGGCAGCACTTAGCGAGCGGACGCCCGTAGACTCTCGTAGCACTGCTACGCCGACGCGTTATGTTCGAGCTAGCCTACGTGGCCAAACGTAAACAAAAAGTGATATGAGTTGTGCGTCCCCTAGCGCATTGTTGAGACTGACTTTACTAATATTAACTTTCGTAGTGTCGTGCTCGTTTATATCTAGTTTAGTGTGGTTATTGCGAACTAAAGGTTCCGCCAGCCAATATGAGAATTATTACTTGTCGAGAATTAATATGAGCGTTAGAGCACAGGAAAGCAATAACGCGTCTACGTCCCCGACTATATCGAGTCATTATAAAGACTTGATTAAAATAGAGATAGCTATGCGTCGCGTGGAGGAAAATAGCAGGAGATTGAAAGAGTATACCAAGTCATTGTTATGGGATAATAAAGACAAATCTCTGTGGTGTGTTTTGTTCAAAGACAGTGAAAGGGCTTTGAATAAGCCGGTATTACGGGATGGCAAAAATAAACATTCTGTAAACGAAGATTATATACGAGCTCTGAGAGAGCAAAAAATGCGGGAAGCTGTTATACATCTGAGGCATCATGGCAACCATCATCGGAGACGCCCCGAAAATTTACCAAACATACCCTATATTAAATGAAAAGTATATTAATAATGTATATAAATAATTATTATTATGCCAGATAGTATAAGTCGCTATAAGGACTCGTGTATATACATATATTTTTGTGTAAGTGTACAGACATCAGTTTATGAAGCACTCTTTGTTGACTTCAGACAATACTTGAATAAATCATCGGAAATTTGTTTCAAACGTTTTATTTTTCTCACTTTAAGTTTAATATGAAGTGATTTAGAGTAATTTTAATATATTTGCTTTTATATTAATTTATGCTACTATGTTCTCATTACATCAACACTTCCTATACCTAAAGGGATAAAGCGTGATGTTATACATGATCTACAATTTTATTATATGTAATAATATTTTTCGAATCTGTACATTAAATATTTTTTGGAAAATCATATTGAAATAGACATTATCGATACAGAGGCCAAATTTACTATTTTTAGAATTTTTGTCTATATGTCTGTCTGTCTGTTACCGCATCCCGGAAAACCCACTGAAGGAATTTTGATGAAATTTGTTGTTATGATAGCTGGTTATTCGAGTCAACATATAGGATACTTTTTACTGCTGGGAAATATCTCATCGCTCAGAAATCTATACTAAATGTTAAAACGTAAGCAGGGACGAACCCGAGCGGAGCGAGGGTGAGTCGCTTGTAATAATATATTATTACAAATTATAAAGCAAGAATTATACTAAACGAAAATGGTGAGTAATTCCATTTGTAATTTAATTTTGATAGATATTGAATAATAAGTAATCATAAAAGACAATCAGAACTTACGTATTATTAAGGAATGATCAATTTTGACCACATCTTTTATATGGACCTTTTTAAAGATAATTTACTTATACTTTATTGTTAAATCCCCGATTTATTCTTCAACGTAAAAGTGCAAAGTACAATGCTATAAATTTATAATTATAAACTATACATAGGCAATAGACTCAAATAATACAATACAAAAACATAATTGCTAGTGATTTAACGTAAACATATACTGTTGTAAATAAAAATATAAAGTACACCACCATCTAGTCCCACGGTAAGCTGTGAGGCTTGTATTTTGGATACCAGATGTTGATACACTACACATATATAATTTAAATACATACATATTATAAATATAAGCAATAAGCATCCGTGACTGGAGTACAAACATTCGTGCTCATCATACAAATGAATGTCCCCAGCGGGACTCGAATCCGCGACCGCTGGCACAGCAAGTGGGGTCACTACTAACTGTAACTTATTCATAAGAATCTATTTACATAACGATTTGGTTTCTAACATTTACGTAAAAGGAATAATTTATTAGAGTACTTAGTGTACTGAATACCTTTTAGCTTGAAGATATAACGAAATACATCAACAAAATTACATATTCTGCATAATATAAAAACCTTTCTAAACTCATTCATATACATATAGTGAATTAAATAAGATTATTATAAATTTATGTTATTTTCTTACTTTTAATATTGAGTGTAACAAAAACTATTTAAAAAATAAAAAATATATGTTTTTTATACTCGAATCACGTTTTTACTTAGTTTTTCTTTTGGGTACACTTACGAATAGCAGTTACCCCCAACGGGATGGTATTTTAGCCATTTCGGGACTTTGATGGCACATGAAAAACCTAAAGGAGTTTTTCACCATAAAGACTATACTTTCTACTCCATTGCGGCGAAACCCAAATGAGGGTTATGTGTTTTAACTGTATGTATATCCGACCCTATGATTCATACGTCGCTCGATTCGTCTTGATAATGCGAGTGTCATAGGTATATTATACCTATTATTCAAAATAAAAAATGGCGGATTCTAGGCGTCAATTTGTGTCTAGAAAAACATTTTTTCGTCCGAATCAATCAAATGGGTTAACAAAATACAGGTTTTTAAGAGTACACAACTTATATATTTAAAAATAATTTAGTATAAGAAATTGTTAAATAAAACAAGTACCTAACTGATCAAAACTAAAAAGCTGTAAATAAAAAAATAATTTACGAAAGAAGTTGACGAAAAACATAGTATTATGCTGTAGTACATATATTGTACACGTTTTATACTTGATGCGAGTCTTGCTACGTGTATTGTATGTCTCTGACTGCATAATGATATGTTTCAGTGTTCGTCGACTTGTTCTCATCTTTTTAATTCGTTTTTTACGCAGTCGAGTATTTTATCTTGTAAATGATTTTTTTTATCAATATCGTAATTAATTTTTTGAGATGTCGACATCGATGTTTTTAGTTTTGAAAGCATTTATAACATAAATGGTAATTAAGAATCTATCTAAGACGTGATTATATTAGTCTTGTTCTTTTTTTAACTAGAATCAAAAAACCTTTATCACAGTCAAAATCAAACTTGGCTACAAATCCGACTAGGATATTGTATATGATAATAATATGATTTGCGCTCAGCTCCTTTCTTAGGCTTCTACGTTTTTTATGAATCCAGAAACTCTTAGTTACGACAATGATATATTAAATTATACTATATTAAAGAATAAAAACACAAATTCGCATAAAAACTTTGTGGTAGACTATAGCTGAAGTTATAGGGATATTATACTTATGAGTTCTACGAATAATAAGCTAAAACATCTTTAGACCCCCGTAAAAAATTATGGTTCATTTGCCCCTCTTTGGCCTTTAGATATACATAGGTATATATTAAATGATAATCCCATCCCATTAATATTATAAATGCGAAAGTTTGGATGGATGTTTGTTACTCAATTACGCTAGAACGGCTGAACGGATCTGGATGGGCATAGAGATAGATTATAAATTGATATAGCATTTTTTATCCCGGAAAAATGTACGGTTCCCGTGGAATAGAATTGTTTTTGTTTTTTACTAGGGATGAACCCGAGCGAAGCGAGGGTGAGTTGGTGTGGTGATGTGGTGAGGTTCAGTTTGGAATTCTAAAAGTAGTTTAATATTAAACCAGCTTTTGCCCACGACATGTTTTATCCTTGATGCGTGTATATACATACATATATATTCGTAGTAGATATGTCTTCGCCTGTATAATACTATTTTCCTTTGTTAATTTGTTCCCATCTTCTTAATACGCCTTTTCCGCAGTCGGGTTTTTTAAAGTTTATATTTTTTAGCTATAGCTTTATACATATATTAGCATGGCTTATACAAAGTGGTTAGTTAATCGAATTTTATCGGCATTGACTGCTGATAAACTCATGGGATGAGATTTACTTCTATAATATCATAGAGAGAAGGTTTATATCTAATCGGCATTTAGTGCCGATTTTATAGAGGAGATGATAATGCATATTTATACGTCATATTTATCAACAGCTAACTATTTTTATGTTCTTTTTTTGTAATGCAGAGATTACATTTTATTGACCATTTGAATTCGAAAAAAAAATTTAACCCATGAGAAGAATAACTTTAAAGTTATTTCGATGTCGGTTTTTAGTTAAAAAATGATTTTATAGAGATATTTGTTCACAGCATCTATGCGCTGCGCTGGTGGGAAGAGCGTATGGAGTATATTAATTTAACTTTGTTTATCCTTCAATTCAAGAAAAAAGGTCAATGGTATTGCGAACATTATTTTACAAATTAGCAATATTAAACAGATATCCGTCGGTGTGTGTGTGTTCTGCGATAAGAGGTCTAAATAATAAAAAACAAAATATATAAAAAATCAAGACCTAAAATTTAGAAGGACCCCAAAAATGTGTTTATTTGAGTACTTATTCCTTGTTTTAAGACAATATATAAACAAAAAGCTTTTTTGGCCTACCATGAAAGCTAACGCTTGCAAGTGTTAAATTTAATGTGACTATAGAGTTCCAAATTAAAACAATAAATAAGAAAATAATCCAACTAAATATTATTAAGAAACAGTTAAAGTTTAGTTTTATTAGTACAAATGATTTATCAGTCGTATAAATATGAGTATAATTGTAATGTTTAGTGCTACTAGCTTTTGGTGCGTGAGTCCATCTCACACTGGACTGAAGTTTATTGTACTTGTTGTTTTTTGTCTCAGCTTATTTTCAGAATAAAATATGCTTTTTTACTAAAATAGAAACTCGAACTTCAAAATTACCTTTAATTGATTGAAGCACTCCTATTCAGGATGAGTAAAATACACACAAAAAAGTTACAGCTCATTAAGTGCATCTTCCTTTTTGAATTCGGTCAAAATATCAAAATTGTGATCGTAACAAAAATAATATCTATATGTAAGTAGGCAAAGACATAAAAATTCAGTACCTTTGTTTCCTGTGTTTCTCAACAGATTTTCTTTTTTCTTTTTATTTAGTAGCTATTGACGCGCTTTAGAGCTATCAATAAAAAAATTAAAACAGTTAATTTTTATATAGATACGTAATTGAAGCTCTATTCATATATGATTTCCTCAAACTCTCAATAATGATTAATATGGTTAATTTTGATATCATTATTATGAATACAATATGTACCTACACACGAGCATTTGTTATCTTATTCCCTTCTTTTGTTATCACGTCGCAATATATTCGTATGTAATACTTTTTTGTTCAAAGATTTATATTTTATATGTAATACTCTTAAATATTTAGGGTGAATCCGTATTATATAAATTATGTAAGAAATATTAGGAAATCTGTTACCCAAACGTAGTACGAATGTACATATATATAAATACATGTACCAACACTACCTATTTCATACTTTGTAATATGATATTTACAGTTTTCTATTTGCTGTTTTTGCAAACAAACAATGTTAATTAAGTTTAGTTTTAAAAAGTATAAATAAACGCTTCATATAAAGATAAAATAAAATTTGATTAATTACTTGTCATCTGTTTAAATTAACTAGCACTTGTTATTTATTTTATTCATTATTTGGAAACTAGCATCGAGCAGGTGGACGTTATCCTGCCAAAGGCCACAAAAATTTAAAAGAAAGGCGATCCAGACTCCACAACAGCGAGTACGACAACTACCAATATATAGGTAAGAGCCATCCAG